GAGTTCACTTCAAATCTAAAATATAATTGTTAATAATTTCTAATAACCATATTTTAAGAAAAGATGTTCTTTAAATAATATTGATATTGCGGGTAGAAGTAGCTTACTGGTTCCATCAAAGTTCTGATTTATGCCTGTTTCTATTCGTGGATACTGTTGTTGTGTACCTTGCCTCCAGATCAAGTACATGTTTCTGTTAATGAGTGTATATTTCTGAGAGTGAATGGAGGACAATGGATGGAAATTTCCTCATAACTACAATCCGATGTGTTTTCTTTCATGCATGTTCATTAACATGCACTTAAGTGACTTAAAAATAGTGACATAAAAATATGTAAAAAAGTAGGTGTGAGATCAAGTTTAGCATACAAACATGAGCTAGTGAATGACACAAGAAAACCTCAAATGTGGACAAATAAAGGATCATATTTCATGTTTGTTCTTTTTAGGCATATGCTGACTATATCGGCTTTGTTTTAACCTTGAATGAAGGTGTGAAGGGAAAGAAACTCACATGTGAATATACAATATCGCAGGTAAGTTGTAATGTAAGCCATCTGAAGTGTGCTAAAATATGCCTGTAAATAATATTCTTATTTTGTAAATCTCCTAAACAACAATATTAATAATATGCTTTTTTTAACATTTCCTACCTCTACTTAGATTTTTTATTGCACATTTAGGATTGATGAGAATTGTTACTAATTGAAATACAGTAATGATGTTTTTAAACCCAACTGGGGTCATTGTTTATTTGTGGCAGACCGTGGAGAAGCTCCTTGGACTGTTGGATACTCTGGACAGATGGATTGATGAAACTCCTCCTATTGATCAACCATCAAGATTTGGTAATCAGGCCTTCAGGACCTGGTATGCCAAACTAGACAAGGTGATTAAAACAATACCAATTTTTTACAACTATATTTATATTTCAACTACATTTATCAGCTCCAGTAACAGTCAGATTAAGTACTTTGCTCTTTATTTCAGAATGCAGAGGCACTGGTTGCTGCTGTGCTCCCTGCAGACAAACAGGCTGCAGCCCCAGAAATAGCCGTTTACTTGAAAGAGTCTGTTGGGAACCAAACCAGGATAGACTATGGAACAGGTCATCCTTTCTTTGTCCTTAGTCTTTGTTTTACTGGTTTACAATTTAAGCACTATTTAGTTTAGCCACTAGAAGGCGCTGTAATGCTTCCTATCTGCTCTGTCTGTTCACTTTTACGTTTAACGCAATAGATTGGCTCTACTGCTAATTACATAAAATATTTTTTATTGAAATTGAAAATTGAAAATTGATCAGAACAAATGTAACCTTTTGTAACAGCTTGTTTATTGGTTTCTTCAGGTCATGAAGCAGCTTTTGCTGCATTTCTTTGCTGTCTTTGTAAAGTTGGAGCTCTTCAAGTAGACGATCGACTAGCCATAGTTTTTAAGGTTTTTGACAGGTAAGTTATACACCTTATTTAATATGCAACTTTATCATTTTTATTTTACTATGTGCTTAATTACAAATATTTCACTGTCATGAATACCTTAGTAGTAGTTTAAACTTGTGTATGGTATGTATTTTGGAGGTATTTGCAGGTTATGAGAAAACTGCAGAAAACGTACAGAATGGAGCCAGCTGGGAGTCAAGGAGTTTGGGGCCTGGATGATTTTCAGTTTCTGCCTTTTATATGGGGGAGCTCTCAGTTTATAGGTAATTAAAATAAACATTAGTATAAACATTAGTATGTTTTCATTTTCTTATTTTATTCTTAACATGGGTACGGCCAATAAAATGTTTGGCCTGTTGTGCATCTGATTATACATGTATTTTTTTTAGATCATCCAACTCTGGAGCCACGGCACTTTATTGACAAGAAGGTCGTCAATGATAATCACCAGGACTACATGTTTTTAGAGTGCATCAAATTCATAAATGAGGTACAAAAAACACACACAGAATGTCATATTAAAGTTTACTAATGAAAAATAAGACTTTTTGAGAAATGAATAATCTTTATTGTAAATGCTTTTTACCTAAAAGCAATGTTGAGAAATAGGTGTATTATGATTGTTGGACAACGCAAACTCATTTATTTAAAAGTGTCCAGAACCTTTGTTTGAGTGGCAGACAGATGCATAGCTGTTTAAATGTTGAACTGGGCCACAGCTGTATGAGGTTTTGTCCAGTAAGGAGGAAAAGGAAAACGGAGGGAAGGCAGATGGGAGCCTGCTTTGGGACAGGGCCAGAGCAGGAACTGTGTGCTTTGTTTGTAGAGGAACAGGAGGGCAGGGACAGAGAGGAGGGCGGTGGTTTAAAATCTACATCCTTTTCCTCCTTCTTCGTCAGAGGCTTTCTCCTCCCTCTTCTGGTCACGAAAGGATGCTGCTTCTGTAGCCAATGGAGTCTGGTCATCTTACTATTCTTGGTATACAATTACTATTACAATTATAATACATTTAGAATGGGAATCTACCAAATATTTATTTAGTGTAAAGATTTACATTAAAATATTGATATAAGAGTTAAGGGTTGATAAGAAAAAATGAATGATCACAAATTAGGGTTGAAATTATTACATTACAGAAAGAAGAAGGTGTATCAATACACAGATTATTGCACATGTTTACTTGTTAAACAAGTTGTCATCTGTGAAGTGATGTCCCTACAAATGAAAAGTAGTGTTAGGATGAAGGCCTTTAAAGAAGAGCCTTCTTGTTCCCTCATTCAGTTCAAAGATGACCTTTTATTATATGTTAACTTTGTTATTCTCTTTTCATTTTGTTACTTAGGATGAATGGGTCTTGTTAAATTGGGAATTTAGATTTAATATGTTTTACATGTTGAGTACAGTGACTCAGAATATTTTCAGCCCATCAGTACATTTTACTTGAACTGCAGTCATACTTCAGGTGATTTTTTTTTTTCCTTTTTTATGGCAAACATTGCAGTTATGCTGTGGTATAAACTCTCTTTTGACTTTTTCACTCAGCCTTCACTTACAGACACTTTAAATGTAGGTTATTTTTATTTTCTTTAATCACAAATAACGCAGCTCTTGTGTGCGCCTGTGTGCGCGCTCCGTCCTCAACATGAGTCACTTCCTTCCCCACATGCTGCTGTGAATCACTCCTTCCTCCAGGGAATACAGGCAGTCTCCACCCCCCACTCTCTCAAGCCCTTCCCCCATGTGTTCTCATGCAAGGCCCTGGAAAGTGTCTGAGCACCATGAGGGGGTGCATGGAAAAAGGAGGGGGATGTTAGATTGATGCCCCGGGGTCTGGCTTTGGGTTCCTTAGCCTCCTGGGAGAAATGGTGGGAAAACACAATTCATACATTCATACATTTATACATGTATTTTGTCTGCAATGCTGTCTGTGCGCTTCAAAGATACTTGTTTGGGCCTCACAAAGTAGCACGAAGAGATACAAGTAATGATAATGTTTTATCATAAGTTTATCTGATTTTATTTTTGTGCTTGTATATTGCACTTATTTAAAGTCACTCTCCAAGCCAAAAAATGTTATCATTTGTATTATGCGAATACTGTGAAAATTATAAATGGTTGCCTTGTATATTTTTTGTCTTTTTTAGACTTAGACAAACTTTCTTTATTCACAAGGGAAACAATTTGAAGACTGTAGCTCACTAGCTCACAATATAATAATTCTTTTGGTAACCATTTTCCTTATTGTAAAATATCAACAGAATATGACAACAGAATAAGATTCAAAATGTAAACCTAGATTTAGTGACTTCTAGTGGTGAAATTCAGAGTGACAAACACCAAGTGCAGTGATATTGGTACTATGGAATGGTTCACTAAAACATAAAATTTTCTGTGATCATTTGGACATCTTTAAGTAAAAATAATTGAAGTAATTGTCAAATTTTATATATATATATATATATATATATATATATATATTATATATATTATATATATATATATATATATATATATATATATATATATATATATATATATACATTAGGTTTTTTTATTACAGCTGAAATAAGTGGTCTTATTCTGGAGCTAATTTTAATTATACTTAATACATTACATTTGTTTTTTAATGTTATGAACTCCCTACAATACTAAAGACAAGAAGGATACCCAACACTATACGATTTGAAAACATCCTTGGTTACCAGCAGCTGAAGACAAAGCTGCATTTTTCACATTCCCGCGTGGCTGCTCAAACCTCAGTAGTAGAGGAGAGTGCTTCTCAGCTTCCACTACTTTTTGTAGAAAAAAATAAGTTACTTTATGGCCAATGCCCATTATCCCAACAAAAACAATAATGTTAACTGTTAACTCTGGTTTTCTTTTTAAAATATTTTGTTTGTCTGAATAGATGAAGACGGGTCCATTTGCAGAGCACTCCAATCAACTGTGGAACATCAGTGCTGTTCCCTCCTGGTCCAAAGTCAACCAGGGCCTGATCAAAATGTACAAAGCTGAGGTACTTCTTCACACCACACACTTTCATTACTCCAGTCAAGAATAACTTATTTAGTTAATTTATAACAAAAAAACAACATAAATCTGCAATTAAAACTTTATAACTACACCTTAAAATAGGGGTATTATGCAAAATTGACTTTTTAGAGCTTCTTACCATGTTATAATAATGTTCCCTCATTAAAAACATGCCAGAAGTTTTATATGTAATCCATGAATATTTGATTAAGCTTGCAATCTTTCCCGGGCATTATTTGAACCATTCTTACACTTAGCAGTGTCAACCTGTTCAGGGCTCCGTCCACAAGTCTATGTCACCCATGCTCCCTCACAGCCATTTTTCATAAATATACAACAGCAGGATACAAAACAAAACACTACAACTTCACTATTATGATGCATTATGCAGTACTTTCATTAAAGGAATGCATGCTGATTGTGTTGTGATACTGTCCTGAAGGGGGAGTAACTTAGTGCAACAAAACTATTATTAAACATATATTGTTTTCAGCAAATAGAGCATTTTCAAAACAATAAAAAGTGACATGGTCATTTGAATATAATATGTGCTAACAATCAATATCTCATAGAAGTCTTATACCCCCTCTTTAAAGAACCACTTAGAAACGAATCCCTCATGGGCTGGGTTGCCAGATTTTCAGAGAGCAACAAGCAGCCAAGCCTTTGAAAATAGCTCAAAACATGTGACCCCAGTCCCACAAAAATACACGACAACAAAGAAATAACAATTGTATGTCTCTGCGAAACAAGCATTAACTCTGTGTCATTTTAATATGACATTTTTATTAAAATAAAACAAATAACTGTAAAACAAATAACAGCTTATATGTAATTAATTACTGTTTTTCTTAACGCAATGTAGGAGTCTCAAAATTTGCTAATGACTTAGCAAAAATAGAAGCTTAACGTTGCTGTAAAGTAACAGACTTGGCAACTCTATTCATTGTTTCTTTACGTGCTGTTGTTCATAATTAGCTTGTATCTATGTGTTGTGCGATGCTCTTGTCTCCACACCTAGTTTCACTCTGATAAATACAGACTCTGAATGGGACTAAGCAGTTTCACTTAATTACGGCTAGTAAAGTCACTACAGTGAGACTAAAGTTACTTTCGTTTTCACTGTGTTAACTGTAGTTTACTTTCAGAACCTCCTGCTTGACTCCCACTTTGTCTATCTTGGATTTGATGTGTTGCAAGTTTCATTTGGTTCAAATGTATCAAGCCTTAAATTTGCGTTTACATATTTCTTTAAATAAATGTTTAGCTACAGAGATGTTTGTCTTTTTGGAACCGTGGCAGCTCTGTCTTCTGTGTTTGAAAGTCCAACATGAACCTTCTGAGCAAACATATTTAACATACCAAGTCGTGTTTGATATGTCATTCACTCTTCTCTCTCTAACTGGTTTACAAGCAATGTGAAAAATCAGGTTATGCTGCACCCAAGCACATTTGGAGCCAAGCGTCTGAACAGTCTGGTAGAAAGACTGGAACGGGTTAAGCGAGGTATGGAGCGAATGAGATTGTGTGTGTGGGCGGTTGGGGGTGGGGTTGGGGGGCCGTCTAAGCCCGTTCTCCCCGCCTGCATACCCACATCCTGTGTTTTCCAGAGCAGCCTGCAAGTCTTCCCAAAGAGCTGAGGGGCCAAGCAGTCTGCCTCTCCCTCCCCCCGCTGCCTCCTCCACCGTTCCCTTCATTAAATCCTCCCTCCCTGTGTCCCGACCTTCCTCCGAGCCTGGAGCAACCATCAGCGCTCTGCATTCCTCTCTCCCTTTGCTGGCCCCACACAAGGTTCAGGCTGAGTCTTGCCGTACAGAAAGGGAGCACAACAGTTCTAGACCTATGTGTCTCAGTATTCAGTTCCCCATCTCTCAGATAAAAAACAAACAAGCTACTTAAAAACAAATATTATTTTAAAATATCCATAAACATTTTTGTGCCTTATTTAGGTTAAAATTATTTAAACATGGCACAAACTGTTAATTGTAGTTTAAAGATGTACTTATGTTTGTTAGTTTGTATGTGTGTTAGCTTGTGTGCATTTACAAGTTTCAGTTCACATTGACTGTTTAGAGAACAAACTTGCTCTGACTTGAACGTAATGTTAAAATGACTGTTGCACCTCGCTGACTGCACAAGCCGTTCTGATTGTGTCATACGCAACTGATCTGCTAGGAAAAAAACACTCTTCCTTGAGTTGTGCAAATACAGACAAAAGAGCATCTTTTTTATATGTTTCAGTTTCTTTATTAAAGTTACTTATTGATTAGAATTGCTATACCCATTGCTAATGTAAATTGCTCGCTTGTTAAGGCTGATAATTGCCTGACAAGTGCAGAATGATCTCTGTTTTTTTTTTTTTTAAACAGAGAGAATAGTCTGATCATCACTCCCTCTGTCACATCTTGAGACAAATTCAGACATTACTGTGCAGATTAGTGTATTTCTTGCCCAGGATCCAGAATACACACTTTACTTCAGTACTTTATGAAGATGTGGGTCTGGTCACCATTGAGATCAGTTTTGATTGACAGATAGATTAGCCAATCAGGGATATGCATGATCTGTCCATATCACAACAAATAAGGCTTCTCACGAGGAAAGAAAGCAAAAAACTATCACAGGAGACTGAAAAATATTGTGGATTTCTGCTAAATAAACAGTTAATCTAAGATGAGAGAACTTTTTATTTGATGATAGGTGGCCAAAGAGCAGTGTCGTTTCACATGTGACAAAAAAAAAAATCTGATTTTCATCATACTATATAACAATACACAGAGATCATTCTGGATTTGCCATGCAATTTTATTTTAGTGACACATGTGAAACAAAGGTCATTGGTCATCATCCACTTAGAACAACATCAAATTCCTCTAACCTTCCTCTTTAGTGTTTTGCTCATGATTCTGCAGAAATCTCTGATGTTTTTCACAAATTTTTTCTTTGTAAGTTGCCATGTTTGTTTTGATATGGACAGACTATGCATGTCCGTGATAATCCTATCAATCACCCCGATCTGAACACCCACCTTTGTTAAGGATTGGAGAAATGTATACTCTAGATCCCAGGCTAGGCTGATGAGGGTTTGGCCTTAGGATTAGCATTAGCATTTACACATTCAATCATAGACTGTATATACAGCACATGTGTACGCATAGACTATCTTACAAATTATTCTTGCCTCATTTGACAGTCTTCAATATTATGCTATCCATTTCAGGAGTAGAGTCACCTCATTGTTTCAACCATTTGCTGAATGTCTCCTCCCCCTCTTTACTTTTTCACACTATGGGCCCAATCTTGCCCCCAGTCTTAGCTAGCACTAGCATTAAGGAGGGGGCTTGTCCAGGTTGGGCTGTACTTCGCAGCTGGAGGCTGGAGTGGGATGATACAGGTACATATATGGTGATGGCATCTGGACCAATCTGTGACCGCTGTGGCTCAGGAGCCCCACAATGCAAGTACGCACCAGTAGAGGCACCAGGAATATAGAATTTTGGATGTGTGTGAAAGAACTGGCCGAACACTCCTCTCTCACCCCTCTCACACATGCGCATTGCTAAGCCCATGAACGCACATCCACATCAACCTTTTATAGTTTTCTCTGCATTCGTTTGCCTCCCATTACGCAGCAGACCAGTGTCAATCCACCTGCGCTCCCCATCCCGCAGCAGACCCGTTGGCCGCGGCTCTCCCCCTGATTGCACCCGCTCCCACCTGTCCCAGCAGTCTGCTCCCATGCAACTCACCTGAGTTGTGAGGGGCTGTGCTCTGCTGCGGAAGGGCACCCGGACGGCACACGAACATGTTATGAATGTTTAGCATTTAGCATTTCATCCTAATATATTTCAAAGTAGAAGAGCATGTTGAGCATGTTACATGTTGTTTTTGAATGGATTATTTATTTATTTATTTATGTTTATTTTTCACTGAATTCACTAAACGCACCAGACCACGCCCTCAGTCAGCTCGACTCCACCTGATATTCAGGCACGGCACACCTTTTGTTTTGAATTCCACTCCCCACATTTACGGTAGTGCTAAGATTGGGGGCAGGATCAGGCCCTTAGATTCTCCTGTCTATAAATATGTGACTCTTTATTAGACTCTCCTGTCTAATAAAGCCTATGGGGGAAAAAAGTCTAAAATGAACAATATAAAAATACATGCCACAAACGATATAACAAAATTAAGTAATTCAAAGTAATAATATGCACCTATACTAATTTGTTCTGACCTATGGAAAACAGCTGCCATCTAATTTTAGTCTTTTACATGAAAGGGAAAACACTTCAACTCTGAATTTATTCAAAATTCTTTGTAGATTTAAATAGCCTGTATTACGTTATTTTCCTCATCACAAAGATACCTGGAGCTGTGTTTTGTTTCATCTTCTTTCAAATTGAAAACACCCTGTTCCACCTTGTGATGTCATGTGGTGAGTAAGGAAGTGGTAAGGAAGTGCTCCATTGTGTTTTTAAAGCCATACACCTTCACTAGAATCATTTGGGTTATTTCATCCCTATAATTGCAGATCTTTACTGAACAAAAGGTAAAATGTAGCTGGTAATTTAAAAACTACCACTTCATGACATCACAAAGTGAAACAGACCATTATGAGCTTTGGAGACGTAGAAGACAAAAAATAAAGGGTTACTCAAATGTGTGAATGTCAATGATGCAAAAACAAAAAAAAAACTCTCATTTAGATCAGATAACAACATTAAAGCTCACAAGAGTCAATTTAGTGTAACATACAGTATGACCCTTTTTTTTTTTAAATTGTTTTAGTTTTTTTTTTTTTTTTTTTCTCATTTCATTTTAAAGTGATGTAATGGATACATAAGTGTTGCTATCTACATATGATTGAGACCCAAGAACTGGGAACTATTAACAGTACACTATAGAAGACTTATGGTATGCACTAACAATAATGCAAAATGTATGTAGCTTTTTAGTGTTGGTGTAGAAGTATATTGAAAACAGGTGTAGTCATCCAGAAAGCCTGGACTTTTTGAGTTTTGTTTAAACCCGGACTGTGGAGTGGAGCGCAGAAAACGGTTCTGTTATTAGGGGAGGAATTGTCTTGGTTGTATTGCATCTAGGTGTTTTGTTTTCAGCCTAGTTCTACCGAGATGATCGTGACTGATAGGGTCACCATGCAGACAGTCTGGGAATCAGAGTTCAATTTCAATGTTTGGCGTCCCAACCCCCACCGCCACCCACAGCTCCTGGCCCCCACTCCGAAACTCTGTCCGTTTTTGTACATATAAAGCCCTGTGTCTGGTTCATGTGCAACCACTTTGCACATGCCCCAAATGATGTAGGTTGGTTAAGTTATTAAGTTATTGAAACTAGTAGTAAAACAAAAAAAAAACTTTAATACTAATTTATAATTAATTATCTTATTTCTGTTTGTTTCTTAGTGTCTGGAGAAGTTCCCTGTGATTCAGCATTTCAAATTCGGTAGCCTGCTCTCCATCCAGCCTGTGAAGCCTTGACTCAGTGTCAGAATGCCATGATTATATATGACCAAAATCACTACAAGCTTAAAATAATATTTTGGATTTTTCCCATACATGTAAAAAGAGTAGTAATACCAAGTTTATTTAATAGGACATGTGCTAACACTGGCTCAGACATGCATGTAAGCCGCCCACAGTAAAACAGATCTCCTTTATTTCACAGCATTTTCATATTTTGCTTTCATTTATTCCTACATATGTAAACAGTCAAATCTAAAATAAAAGATAAGCAGTTGTTTTAAATATGGTCAATATTTGTTTTGATATGTATTTGGTTTGTTTTGTTTTTCACAATGTGATGTGCTATGGTATAAATGCGGAGAATACATTTTTATGTACATAACACATAATTTGAGAGCCTCAATAATAGCACATACATGGTCTCATGTTTTAGAGTTTCATAAATAACTGCTGGTAAATGAAAACAATCCTACAGGTACAACAGAAACATACCTAAATGTATCCCCAGTCATTTATCTTCTGCTAGAGTATGCTTCTTTTTGCTTGGGAAAAATTGTGTTTGCATACCTGCAAATAATAATTAATTTAATAAATGTATTGTAATTCAAAAAAAAAAGTATATTTTTTTGCAGTTTAATGTAACGGTCAAAGCCTATCTTTAGGCTTTTGCTAGCTAACAGCTAACTGAATTTACTGCTAAATTGTATGTGTAGAAAGTTGTTGCTTTGGGCAGAACAATTGGTTCTACAAATGGATTGCAGATGAAGGCAAATAATATTAAATATTACATAAGCCAGGATACCTTATACTCTTTACTCCTTCAAGTGGACAAAGATTCAAACAAATGTCATTACAGAGGAGGGGAAATCCCAGTCATGTAGTGCCTGCGCCACTGAAACAATGTGCAACAGTCCCTCAGTTTAATGATAGAGGTGGAAATCCCCCTACATTGAGCACACTGCCAGGAGTGGTGGAAGAAGGCACAGCAGTCTATAAGCAACTGTGGCAGTGCTCAAGTGCTGTATCCACTGGACTGATCTTTCTATATAGAACCAACTACATTAAAACACACAAGATTTATTTTTGGTAACATAGCAACATGAGTTCAACAACTACAAGTAAATGATAGAACATGACATTGAGTGTAGCTCCAGCCACCTCCATTGGATCTTTGTGAACAGTAAACTGCCACCATAGTCATATAAAGCAGTCTGACTAGATGTTTATGTGTACGTATCAGAAGTGACCTGCCTCTTGGATTGGCGTTGTGAAAATGCAGCTAATAAATACAAAGTTACAATGCCGAGTTGTGATGTATTGTTGGAATAAACTAACTTTTAAGGTAGAACACTACAGTTATATATATATATATATATATATATATATATATATATATATATATATATATATATATATATAGTTATAGTAGACTGTAGTTTATTTGGAGTCTTGTCTTGTTTTCGGAAAAAAATATAGCCACCAAATGAAACAAATGGAGGTTCTTTACCTAACTCAGAGGAATGTGAGGCATGGAGGATCGGTGTAGACGTGTGAGGACGTGTTTGGTCTCGTGACTTCAGTGAAGGCAGTTGCTCAAATAGGATGCAGCTGCAGGCTCAAAGCAACTCACAAACATAATTTTAGACATACACTTCAAAAAGATACACTTTGAGTACATTTGTAATGCAAGAATCAGGGATGGGCAGTGTATCGGTGCTTAAATGATCAATATCAACCAATATACATGATTTTTTTTTATCTTCACATTGTCATAGGCAAATATGAATAATGTTATTATTATTATGTATTGTTTCTGCCTAAAAAATGAATTTCCTTCTGGATAATACAGTATCATCTATCTATCTAGCTATCTATCGAACTAATGGGTCATAACAGGAAACATTTTGGTATTAACTAAAGCGCTTTGAGTGCCTTGAAGGTGGAAAAGCGCTATAGAAAAATGTGACCATTTACCATTTTTACCAACTAAAAAACTTCCATCCCTGACAAGGATTAGGATAAATCTTGTATTAACCATAATTCTCTTTTTCTATTACTGGCCTACATTAGAATTTGAAGTTCACAGACAAAATATATATTTTAAAAGACAAACTGTTATTATAAAACATAGGCCTAGTTATTGCTCAGTCTTACTGTAAAGGACTGACCTCATTTATTTTTACTATTCTATGCAAATGAGCGTCTCATTCTGTCGCATATCTGAAAAATAAGATGGTGACCTAGTTCTGCCCTTATAGATGACTGGGCTCTCTGGAAACGGCAGTATCTCAACATGTGGAGAGTGGATTATACTCTGTAACATTAAATTTGAATATTAAGGAATTTTATGAACAACTTAGATGAAGTTGTTGATGCAAACCTCACTGAAGAATACTTTTTTGTTCAAGCAATTGACAAGTTGAGTAGATCATTGATCAGGGTTCCTTGCACACATCAGTGGTTCACACAGAGCACACTTTACTGGTTTGATCTAAAATGTATTTGTTTTGGAAAATTCCTGGCTCTGAGCCCCCTGGTGATGAATCGTAGTCATCCATTAACAAAGACTACAGTCAGACCTTGGCACTACAGCCTCATACAACACTTCATGTGATGCATTGGCTGTGGACTCTCTGCTAGAAAGACCATGTGATCTTAGCTCCACCTGAAAAATCTGACATTTCAATTGAAATGTAATTATCTATAAATTTTTGAAACAACCCCCCCCCAGAGCATGTTTATATAGGTTTATATGCCAAACACTCACATTGTGTAAATGGAAAGGGCCTAACTTTTTATTACAGCCAGAAGGCCTTTGTCCTGATACTAACCCATGCTGCTGGAGTCTGTCCCTGGACTTGGGCAGCCCCCTCCCCACCCCAGACCTCTTCGACAACCTGGCTGACCTGTGTGCTCTCTGCTGCAACAACGCGACTACCCCCTCCCCAAACCACACAGCACCTATTCCCTGTGGTCTCCCTGCTCCCCCCTCACAGACTTCATACTGTCACATGTGCTGAGCCCCCCTCCTTCTGCTGCTGCAACCCCCCACACATCAAGCTGCTTCTGACAAAGCACGCCTCCATCCCCCATCCCGCCTGACCCCCCCGGCCCCCTCCAGCTCTGCCCCAACACAACCACCTGGCATTGTCCTTTACACAGAATCAGGTGGGTCAACATGAAACAAATGCCTTGAGAAAGTGTAAAGTTAAGTTTGTATCATGGCCTCTGTAGTCCAGTGCCTCACTTGCCCCTTCACAGACAGTCAGTCCGTTTTTGTAACAACTGTATATTTCCAGAGAATCTTTAAAATACACTCTCCTGAGTGCACACATACAAAATAATACATCTCTATTTTATTTCTATTTTACTTCATTAATAATGCACCCATTAATTACATTTTGTTTCCATAAATAAAAATTATAAAATGAAAGTAGGCAATATTTTTTATGTTTAAAATATAATTTATTGAAGATTTTCCATATCAATTCAATGTATGAATACATCATAATTGAATTTACTTCTTTATTATACTGTAATATTCAGAGTTGTCAGTGTAACATTTTCCTTTTTAATATTACCAATTCTGTGTGTGATATACAGAAGAAACTATTCCTCTGTACTTGGCTTTTTATTGGGTGTCAGTCTTTCTCAGTCCAGATGGAGGAGCTGTGTATTCACCATGAATCCACCTATTGTTCACACCTTGTGTCTGTGGAGGCTGTACTGTTTCTGTCCTGGTGGAGTCACTGTTTCAAAGCAAAAATATGTTTTATTATAGAACACCTGAGAATAATCTAGTGGCATTGCCTGTTGTGCACCTTGTGCTATGTGCTGCAACAGTGAGGAGTGCTGCTGTAGCTGATAGATGCAATGTATACTGTGTCAGAGCAGAATGAGGCAAACAGAGAGAGGATGGTCAGCACGAGGTGCCTCCACTCTGCACACATATCTTCATTCATTGATTTTAAAGAACACCACCAAGTGGCACAGAGCAGAGATAACACTACTGTAGTTTGGGGGAGGAGATGTGAGCATGTGGAGAGGCGGAAAATCAAAACAGAGCTCCTCATTCACTGCAAGGCCCATTGATAAACAGGCTTACCTCATTTACATTAACACAGAACTTATGCATAAATGGTTTAATGTAAAATATTACACACCAATAGTCTATAACACATGTGTATGTTTCTTATTGATAAACTTCTATATAATAGTATCCAGTATGCTTTAAAATACCAAATAAAATAAGTGAATAATTAGTGGTTCTCTCCTTTATATGGTCTAAGAAGAGTATTGTATTTCAGCTGTACATTGTTGAAACAACAACTGCATAAACAAAATTATTTATCTGCAGTCTACTTTTATCATCATAAATTTGCTGAAATTCACCCAAAATGAAAACTGTATCACTGTTAACTCTTAAATGATGAACAAAAACCTTTTTTCTTTTCTTTTCTTTTTTTTTTTATTAAGATTATAAATTTTTAACAAATATTTCTCAGCAACAGTTTTACCCGGTGATATACAATTTGTTGGGCACAAAAATACATGAATAACAAGAATATAGAGAATGGCTGAATACTCTCTTTATTTTGGTACACATAGTGCTCATAAAGCTAATGCATGGATCTCTTTAGAGTATGGCTAAATAATGAGATTTCCTTTTTAAAACAAAAGGACAATTTCAAAAAAAAAAAAAAAAACAGGACAGGTTGGAGTTCTAAAGTAGTGTTGAGCGTTTGAGAGAGTGAACACTGGGGGGAGGCATAGTGACAAATACATGAACAGAACGGCACTGATTCAATGAGGACAGTGAACCTACAAAGTTTGTTTGTGTGTGTGTGTGTGTGTTTTTTTCTTTTTTTCAGTTTTTTTTTTTTTTTTTTTTTTTTTTTAGCAGGGACAGGTTTCACAGAACAACAGTTTTGAATGTGCAATACCCCGAAGGAACAGGAGCAAACGAGACATTCAGTCACTTTCATTGTACTTTCAATTCATGACAATAGCTAGCTGTAGTGTGCATTAATATTAAGGCAACTTTTCCATCCTCTCCATCTCCATTAAGTGTATTCGGCCTACATGTAAACAGGAGATCTCCACATATCACAGACCATTGTCATTAGACGGTTTGTTTTTAAATATATTCTGCAAAAATAAAGTAATTCTGATTTAAAGTTAGAAAGAGGTTCAGTTGTAACGCCCCACGTCCTCCATTGGTGAGAAATGATTAAGAGTGATGTCACATAACCTGAATACAAAATGGAACACAGATGAGACAAGACCCTAATAGATTAATGGTAACTCTTGTCTACTGAAAATGTGAATATGTGAAAACAAATAGGCCAGTTACTCTATTGACAAGTGCTTGGTCTTTCAGTCGTGGACCCAACCCATGACAGATTTGTGCGTAACAATTAACCCGGTGACATGTGCTACTACGAACCAAAATGCTGTTCGTTGTTCAGCTGTCGTGTAATACTTGAATAACATTGTGTTTTTATTTCACGAATGTTCTCATTGCGCTTTCCGTAATAGCTGCACAAATTCTGGCGGGCAACAAAACACCTTTTTTGGCTACTTCGACGTAGTAGCAGCTATAATGGTGTAGCCTACTTTAATGGCATCAGCAACCTTAAGGCTGTTGTTTTCACGTTGTACGAATGAGTGGAGTGTTACAACTGAACCAGGTCCCCACAACTGTAAAGTGATCAAAATGCCACTATCGCCCGAGTCCATGCGCCTAGACCAGCCAGTGCTTGCTTGCTACAGATCTGCTCCAAGTCCGCTTGTCTGCTTAGCAGCCCAGAAAACCCCGATCCAAAGATGGATATCAAATTGGAGATGTTAGAAGTGTCTGTGAAGTCCTGGCACGAGTATACACAGTCTTCTCGCTTCAGTCTCTTTCTAGATGTAGCAAAGTCTTGCAGTTCATCTAAATCAGACGCACAGTACCCGAAGTCCATCTTCCTCTTTTTAGCAGGAGACTGTGCGCTTTGCGCACACTGGAACGCGTCGCAGCAACAGTCCTGATGGATGAAGCCGTTATCCACAGTGGTCACAACGTGCGTGTCCAGGTCCAGGACAGTTGTTTTGTTACAGTGCGTGTTGATGTTGACAGGGAGCTGGTCACACGGAGACGGAAGGGGAGCCTCCATACAACAGCTCCGGTAGTACGCAGGCTCCGGCTCCTTGATGCTGCCTCTGTGAAAGTCCTCTCCACAGCACGCAGCCCTGGTCAGGTCCTCGTCCTCTGTGTCCTCCGCGTCCAGCTCGAGTGGGTTCAGTTCTTGTATCTCATTGCAGACTGTCATCACCTCCTCGTACTGTTGCATCCTGTAGATCTCCGCGTACTTCTCCTTGATGTAGACCTGCCTGGCGTTCCTTAGGACATAAGACACCAGCAGGTTCTTGTGCAGCTTGATTCCCCCTCTCTGGGTTCGGGAGTTGTGGATCTTCATAAGAGAAATTGAGATTAGGCTCTGTGCGTCTGCTACGCACTCCATTGTGTTAATCATTATTGTGACCCACTCTGAGCTATCTCAGTGGGAGACGTTTTGTGTGAGAAGACAAGTTTAAGTCAGGTCTGTGGAGAAACATTGGAGGACATGATCTGCCTTCCTTACAAAGCAAGCGATCATTTGTAGTTGCCTTCAAGCCGAATGGTTTTATACCCGAGCCAACGCCCCGCCTTATTTAGTGCCAGCCAATCACGTGGCACCACTGTCTTGAGTGACAGACAAGAAGCCTGGAACTATGTCGTGGCCGTCCAATGAGCGTCAGGCGGTTCCTCTGTACTATTCAAATTCCACCCAGGCTGTGGAACTGGAATGTCCTCATTACTGCTGCTCCGAGCAGCCACTTACAAAACACCAGCTTCTTCGTTTCCAGTAGGAACCTCCGTGCTTCTGTGGTTTAAAAGAGAAGGAAAAGTTGCCTTCTGACATTATAAGTGCAACAACATACAGAATAACGTTATAAGTACGCCAAACTTCACACGTAGGTGGTTCTATGCTGCATGGCTTGATTGGTTTATTAGAAATGTCAACTTTAGTTTCAAATTTTTTTTTTTTTTTTTTTTTTACCTCAGTATTTAAGATGACAGGGGGACCCTTGGGAAACTTTAGGGGTAGGCTTGTCTTTGAGCAGTGAACACTAAACTTCGTCGCAAGCGTTCTGGGCTGTGTCCAATGCGTCACCTGGCAACGAATGACGTTATAACTGAAAATGAAAAGCTATGCCTAGACTAGTGCAAATTAATCAATAGACTAGGTATCTTACTCAGCAAACATATAGCTTAAAAAAATTCCCTTTTTAGAAAAAAACAAAACAAAAAAACTTCTGCAGTGTTTTAAGATCTCGAACCGTAAAAATAACAAATTAATGAAAGTCAGTTTAACCAATGGATTTATAAAGGACTGGTTATAGGCCTAAGTCAAATGTGGTATAAAATTTTCTGTCATAGGATATGGTTTTCAAACTGGGTGTGAAATTATTTCAAACAAGCGTTAGTATTTTTTCAGGAAATAAATAGCAGTAATGCACCATAATATTCCACAGTCTCACTTAAGTGATTGTCCAATTCGATGGTAATAATTGATATTAGCCTATTACAAGGGTTATATTCAATTGAAGTAGCCTTTTTAGACTTATTAATATAAAGTTGAATTTGTATTCAATAGTTTTGGTAGGACTGTGTCTCTTAAAATGGGAGAGGGGTTGAGTTTCATCGCATTTTGCATATTAATGAAGCAGGGGACATTTTGAAAGAATGCTTTAACTTGAGTTCATGACATGTGATTATCAAATTTGCTGTTATAGTGTTGATTACATTTACGTTGTGCGCCCTGCTGACAAAATTTGCTCACAGTAAATACAGTGATTCTGGTCTGTCAATAGACCAAAAAAAACCTCATTACACATGTGACTTTATGACCACTTCGTTGTAATTATGAACAGAAAAGTTTTGAAAACAATGGCAAAAAATTTACCAGCCAGGGCATAAAAAGATAATCCAGTAGAGTAGTATGTATAATTTGTTTTAAAAATGTTTCATTACCATTGTCTTACAACTTTAGCAATGCCCAGTTTTCTCTGATTTCAGAAGATAAGCAGGCTTGGGCCTATTTAGTACTTGGATGGAGACAGCTGGGAATACCAGGTGCCACATTGGGACAGCAGCGGTGCTAGTGAAGACACTTCACCCACCCTGCTTTATATAAATGTGGTGTGTGAGTGATTGGTGGTGGTTGGAGGGGCCGATGGTGCAGATTGGAAGCCTTGCTTTTGTCAGTATATGGGCAGCTGTGGCTACAGTAGTAGCTTAACACCACTAAGTATGGAGTGAATGAATAGTACAATGTTGTATGTTTATTTCCATTTTCTACTTTAGGAAAATGCAGTCGGTCCAGGACATGTTTACACTGTATTACATTTATGTATGCGTAATCCTCAATTTCTAGTTAAGTAGTTAGATTTGAGCAGATAAACCATAGAATACAAGAATGGTATGGATAATGTATTTGTTTGTCCAAAATGTGCCCCATGTAAGTATAAGTTACCCTATATACATATAGCACAATGTAGACCAGGAAGTTTCTATTTCTCTTTTATAGCCAATTCGCTCACCCTATGCACCCGTTCAACTAACTTTTCTGTCTGTAGATGGCAGTGATCTGTAGCCTAGCACTAGCACACCCCAACATATAGGACCACTGTGAGTAGAAAATAATAATTCAGAGTTATGCCTATTTAATTTACTTTGTGCCTCATATTAAATACTATCTATTCTACAACCAAAATGCTATGTCAGATGTTCTTCATGCTTTTTGATTGCATGTTTTATGGCCCATAGCTTATAATGTTTGAATTTACCAATGAATATAAAGATGCTTAATGAATTGTTAAAGTCATAACTATAGACATGGCAGCACTGCAGACTCATACTTGAAAGAATAAGAAATCAGTTTTGCCTTGGCCTCTTTAGAATGAGCCCTCCTCTGATGGCCAAGTGAATGCAATAACCCACATTTAACCTGTAGAGGCCAGTGCAGCTCCAGTTTTGTGTCATGTGTGATTAGAGCTTTGAAATATTTCTCAAATTCTTCTTCAGAGGTGAGGCACATCTCTTTCTGGATGGAGATCTTCTGTCGCAGAGCCTGTGCAAATTATGAGAATACATAGCTCCAGTTTCATTCAGCAGTGATGTAGAACGACATAGGGACTAATTTTTTATTGGTTTACATTTTTCAAAAAACATCTAGATACAGGCATATTTAGAAACACAAATGGATATTTTTGTGTTACCACTGTTGACCATCGTTATTAGATGGAATCACGCAGTCAAGCATGTGTTCATTCTTGGTTTCATTAAGATGATACCATGCCATTCATAGAGTTTTGTTGTGGGGGGAGCATTTGCTGAGAGGCTGCTGTTCTTGTGATTTGATACCAAAGGCGGGAGGGGCATTGGAGAGAAAAGCACAGGGAGAGGACGAGTGAGAGGTATGGTGAGGCAGTCTTCACTTTCTGCGTGGGCCTGTGAGAGGTTTTAAACATCCTGCTGAAAACCCATTGCCACATTGTAAAAACTTGATGATAATTATTAAGTTGTAAAAATTCATGTAACATTGTGCACATAATATACAAGAGTTTTTACTTTAGTATTTAATCCAATAAAATCTAAATAAACCTGGCAATAATATTTAAACATGAGTTGGGTGTTACTGCAGAGCTGTGTGCATATTGGAGAGTTATACTGTGGTGTCTTTCTATTTTCAGTCTTTCCTCTGTGTATCTGCTCCCAGTTCACAGCCTCCTCCCGCCCGCGCTCATCTGCTCTGTTTATGTTCTCTCTTCATCTTTTCAGCCTCGCTGCATGACTGTCTCTGCTGCCTCTATACTCTTCTGTTTAGGACCTGCTTCTCCACAGTTTTAGACTGGTGTTCATACTTTGCAAAATTACACTTATTACAATCTGTGCATCTTGAAAAGTGAACCAAGCAGCACAACATATGTCAGTGATGTTGGTGCTTTTTTACTCTGTTTCTGGCTTAGATAAAACGGATACAGATTTCACTTCTCATGTAGTTGTTTCTATCTGGCTGATCTTCACTTAGTTCTTATGGTAACATTATTGGTCATTGTTAGGGTGAGCCAGTGGCACTCTCAGTAGGAGTTTGACTTTAAAGCTGTAGGCTGTCAGTTCAACTCTTGCTTGGGAATCTGTAATAATACTGTTGTTGTGACTGTGGATATGACAGTGAGATAATTGTCTTGCCCAAGGACACAACAATTGCTCAGAGCTATGACTGAAGTACTTAACTTCCACTGATAAGAGGTGTTGTTCTTATCACGTATAATGAATTAGAGTGTAGAGCACAGCCTCAATGATGAGGGCAATAAATAGTGAAAATGAAGAGTATCATGATTTATTGATGAAGACTTGAGGCGCTTTCAAATAACATGGGCAGGATTACCCCTATGCCTGCTTTCTGTATCCTGCTGCTGTCCATTGCACACACTATTTCACATTCAATTGATTGAGTTTTAATCAGATTATATGTATACTAGATAAGATTTTTATTTGTGTGTGTATATAAAATTAAATGATAATACACAAGAGGTTTGTACACCCTATGCTCTTTTGGCAGATATTGGACCTAGATATGTAAGAGACAGCTATAATCAATACTTAATATGAATATGTAAATTGTTGCAACAATTATCTATGATGATTTTAGAAGCCACATGAATCTGATGACCTGGATCAGGTTTTGACCTCTCATCAAAATAATTTAAAAGTAAACCTGGTCTTCTGCTAGAGATAATTTACAGACCCAAGATATGAACTTATTTTTTATTTACATTTGTCTCACTAAACTCTAGAAATAATAAGTATCCATGATTTTTTTCACTCAATGTGAAGACAGGGGACATATTGTAACCCAGATGCTTAATGAAGTATTCTGATGCTGTGGAGGAATATTTTTGTTTTTTCTTTGCAGAAAGCTGCTCACTTGTGCTGAAGACCAGAGTGAAACCAGATGAATTCATTATCAGCTGGTAAGTGCGGCATCAGCAGGTACAGTTTTAATGATGCTGATGGTCATATGATCCGCAGCTTTAATCTTCACACTCAAACTTCTTCACACCAAAAAAAAAAAGCCAAAAAAAACCCCTCTCATTACACTTCTTTCTCAGCATTATCTGCCACACCCTGCTAAGCAGTGAGAACAGAATACACCTGTTCGGTCTCAGAAGAGGGGGCAACTCTCACCTGACCATGCCTCATAGGCTACATTTATGATGAAACTATTTGTCATGTAAAGTCAGCACTTCACTCAAAACACATACATTTTCACAGGATCATTGTACCCTACCCATGGAGATACACAAAACTATAATAGGAAAGACTATAATTTCTCATTATTCGATATATCTATATATTGAAATAAAAGGTTATATTTTCTTAATCTTTGCCACGTAATAGCCAGAGTGCCTGTGTTTGTCTATGCCAGCTGTGGAAGGGATACTGATACACGCCTATCCTACAGTGCCCCCTTCAGGCCTATCGCTGCTGCAAAATGTTGCCTTTCCTGCTTACACACTCACTGGATCACCAAGTAGCTCACGATTTCGTATTT